ACAGCTTGTCTGCATAATGTAGCAGTCAGGCAAGGCGAACCACAATCTCCAGCCAATGATGACATTGGTGAATATATTGTGATGGATGACAATTACATTGTGCCAGCAGGAAACCGAAATAATGATAATAATGAAATAATAATATAATAATAAATGACTTTTTATTGAAATCTTATTAACTGATTAATGTTTACATTTTTTTTTTATTTTATTCTCTAGAGCTTCATTCTCGAACATATATTTTCTTTTTTGTTGCAGCAATATTTCCAACTCTAGTTCTTTTTGTTTTATTTGTATGGCTTGGAGTTTTGCTTAAACGGCTCTCTCTTCTTTCTTTATTTCCAGCCTCTTTTTCATTTCTTCTATTTGGTGCCCAAGATACCGGGCCTTTAAATCTATTTTTGGTGGATCATTACTTGGAATCTTACATTTGTTTTTTTGTTGTTTCGCCTTCGGTTGTTTCTTCATCTTGTGAATCTGAAAAAGGTACACATATTTAATTTTAAGGTTAAAGTTCGAAACAAACATGAATGTAATTGTAATGTTAGAGCTATACTACAATAACAGGTGGTAGCATGGCATGGAGTATGTGGGTTTATAAAGTGTTAAAATTATTTCATAATGAACATGTGAGCATATACAATTTATTATTTATTAGAAGAATAAGTACATTGAATTATGTATTGTACATACATGTAAGTTATATTTAGTTAAATAAATAAATAAAAATAAATGATTTTTTTTAACTATCTGCAACTATCGATAGTTGGACACCATACTATTAATAACTATAGAGTATGGCCAGTAGCAATAGTTCTTTACCTCTACTAATAATTTTTATTAATTTTCATAACAGAGGTTACTGTCTATTTTTATGCTCTTTTTGGATGGCAAGGCAAATGTATATGCTAATTGTTGGTGTAATCATTAATATTAGGAGCTAAAATTCTTTTTCATTGGGTATTATAATTTCCAATTGTTCAATTATGTATGTACTATTGTCCAGTTACAAAATGAAGTGGGTCAAGTGGCCTAACATTTCAAAATTTGCAGATTTTTTGTGTTTAGAATGTTGCTTACCTTCGCAAATATTAGTTAACTGCTTGCAGTTTAAAATGTTATCAGCCTTTGGTCTAATAAAGGTTGAATTATCACTCACACTAAACTGACTACTCTGAAACTCTACATGAGCACAATCCTCTATTTGATTTTCTTCTCTGAAAACAAAAAAAATAAATAATTTGAATTGTATTAAATACTGAAGATTACATACCTGTTACTACAAAAAGGCTTTTATCCAGTACAGAATTCATCATCATACGGGTTGTTCAACCCAACGACTGTTTTGTAGTTTATGATTTCCAATACAGTCTCATCTGGTTCATTCTGAGACTGAGACTCGTTTCGAAATTATTATCACTATACTATTAACTATAAATTACTATTTTTCAAAACTATCCCTAAATTTTAAATTATTATTTACTATTATTAACTAGCAACAGAATAAATTCGCAAAATACAAAAGAAGGATTACCATTTAAAATAAATATAAATATTGAAATGACAATAAACACAGCATCAAAAAATGACAAATGACACAAATTTTTCTTCTTTTTTGTTGTTTCTTTGTTAATAACGAGTCAACAGGTTAAGAATTTTTGACAACTTTGCGAAGTTGGTATCTTTGATAACTTAAGTTTTTTCTTGGTTAAATTAAGTAAAAACTTGTATGGTGGAACGCAAATTTCAACTAAGAATTTTTTTTTACTAAGCAAAACTTACGTAAGATTTTACTTAGATCACGTTGGTGGAAACGGGCGTAAATAAAGTCATAAGGCTGGACAGTAGATACTTTTTATTTATTTACAATTCTAGTGCTTTATTATAAGTCATATAAAAATCAGTATCTACTTATATAAGTTGTTTGTTGTTTTCCATAATATGAACAGGATAATTTTCTTTATTGCTCCTACAACTTTATTATGTATTCAACTAATCCCTAATAAGCATTAACATATCTATTTTAAATGTTTATATGTTATTTGGTAATTAAATATATTTTTATATTTCAGATGTTGATATTAATAGGCAGGAAGTGTCTACTCCACATAGGCCCCATACTCCACAATGCTTCACCACATATGCACAATCAGCTGCAACACAACCCCCCTCAAAGTTATGTGGTGGTACACCAAGAAAAAGCAAAATGAGGTTGAAAATAAAAACTTTACGAGCGATTGTAAGAAAAGCATGTAACTTCTCCACAAAGGAGGAAAATGATAAATCTTATTTAAGTAAATTTTTTCAAATATGTGACAAGTTATTAAACAAACCTCTAGCACAAATCGTGAAAGCTCAGTTTGCATTAACACTATTTTTGGGCCCAAGTGCCTACGCTTTTATGGAAAGAATATTGTAATTATGGGATCGAATTTTCTAAATATGAGCAAATTACTGCGGATTTCTCCAAATAACTCAGAATTTGATGTCAATGGAGCAAACAATTGTTTATATATTTGATCCATGTCATTTAATTAAAGCTACTAGAAATAATAATGTTTTTTATTTTGATGACAAAAAAATATCTTGGTCATCTATAGAAACTTTTTATTATGAAGAGAAAAAAGCAGTTCTATAAGTGTGCACCAAAAGTAACACACTCCCATATATACCCTACATCTTTTAAAAAAACTGCGAGTAAAACTAGCATCTCAAATTTTAAGTAGGATTGTTGCAAGTTCTATGTATTTATTATATTTCTCTTGGTATTCTTCTATCAGATATATTGGTAACAATAGAAATTATTGAAAAATTTAATAATTTGTTTGATATTTTAAATTCTACTGATATAATAATCCTAACAAATTTAAAAATGTATTTGAGGGAACTGATTTTCAGATCAATTACCTAAATTCCATGATAGATTTGGTACATATACTGAAAATATTAGATAAAATAAGAAACTATGTAACATGTAGTTCGCCATCAAAAAAAGTGTTGGCGTGTAACAATTAATGGTGTTAAAAAGCTTTGGGATAACTTATCGTATTATGATTTTAAATAGTTAAAAACAAGAAGACTTAACCAAGACTGTGTGAAAAATTATTTTGGTAGTATAAGACAACAAAGTGGAAATTCCATAGTTTATAGTATGAAACTAAACGATGGATTGAAAACAAAACAACACAATTCTGTGAAGAAATGATTAATATTGATAATAGTAATAAATAAATAATATCTAAATAGACTTTGTTTACCAACTACAACATTTCTTGAAATTACTGACATATTAATGTCACATGCATTAAATATATATAATATATATATATATATATATATATAAAGAAGTATTGTGACTCGTGTTATATATATATATATATATATATATATATATAACGTCTCACGCACAAGGGTGCTACTTTTATGGTAGCTCTACTTCAGTGATTTTTCACGTTTATTTAGTTTTCAGTATGCTTATTTCTTGTAAATCTATATTATAATGTAAGCTTCCTAAATAAGCAATATTATTATTATTAATTACAATAAATTTCTAATATTATTATTATTGTGTTTTATTACAACTTTTTACCCTTCCCTACCACAAATGTGATATATCCTGTACAACCAGAAGTTTCAGAGACCCCAGATGCACAGAAAGAGAAATCGAAGGAGTATACAAGTATATTAATTTCAATAAATTTCTATTAATATTCTGTTTTATTACAACGTTTTCCCTTTAAAAAAGTCTTATGTCAAAAAAAACGATAAAAAGTAATAGAGGTCGACTGCTTTTCATCTCTACTTTGAAATTAACTCTCAAATTCAATCGCATTTTATCGGTTTTTTAATGTACTAAAATAATTTTAGTACGTTAAAACTTTATTAGTACAGAATTTATATATATTTAATTTTACAGAAAAAATAAAATTCATACACAAAAGATCTACTCAACAAAATTATTACTTCGTTTCTGAGTGTAATTATAATTTGACTGCGGTTTTGAACGACTTCCTAATTACTTTTCTTCGTGTACTAAGTAGTTTAACTGTCACTGTCACTCCGAAATTTCTGTCCTCCGAACATCAAAGGTACCGACAAAGCTTTCGCTTCTTGTTGGGATGGTGTATTCTGTGGTAAAACCAATATTAAAATAAAGTTCATATGTCTGGTAATTTTATTATGTTTCTTTTATATATATATAATATATATATATATATATATATATACATATATATATATATATATATATATATATATATATACATATATATATATATATATATATATATATATATATATATATATATATATATATATATATATGTATACAGCATTAAACGAATAGAGCATACAATTCTTCATCATATTTCGTTGAAGACCAATCTACCTTATGCATATCCTACTATTGAGATATTCCTTGATGTTCTTATACATATAGATTTAATGTATATTTTGTATATTTATACATTACTAATATTAGAATCTAATGCCCTGTCTGCTCTCTGCAATCGGAATATTTGTTTTTACTAAGATAATCACATTAGTCCACTTTATTCTTCTTCTTCATCGATCATTTTTGGACATAGGACTCTCCCAAATCCATTCATTGATCTCAATCCTGAGCATTACTGAGCAACATACTTTCAATTTGTTCTGACTATTTTTTTTACCGTATGTGCCTATCTTATATGTGGTCTTTCCTTTGATCGTCTACCTTTGTACAGACTCCAATGTTGTATTCTGTTGTTCCAATGTTGGACGTCCTCTACATTATGATAATTAATTTAAATTATTTTAGTTGATAATATATAATTAAAATTATTATTCTCTTTCCTTTTGTACTCTTGTAATCTGCTATATTTTTATAAAATAAGAGTTACACCGTCAATAAGCAAATATATAAATAATCTTTTAAAAAATTAGAGGTAATACAAAAAATTAAATGTCTTTTATTTGTATTTTTAAATTAACTTTTATATTATAAATTATGAAGATTATGATTAAATATAAATTTCAGTCTTTTTTAGGTGGTCTTGGTGGTCCAGACTTGAACACATTTTTATCCAAGGCTTCTAAAATTTTAACATCCTCTTCGCTTATGACGAAATCGAACACATTAAAATTTTGGCCTATCCGTTCTGGGGTTACACTTTTTGGAATTGGTATAATGTTTTTCTGGATTAGGAATCTTAAAGCTATTTGTGCTGGTAATTTATTGTATTTTTTGGCAATTTGTTTTACAGTATCGTTCTCCATAATATCTAGTCCACCTCCATGTTTATTTCTAAAACATAAAAAAAATTATTGTTGATATGAGTAGTAGCACAAAACACTTAAGTTTGAGAGGTAAAAAACTCAATTCAATAATGTTTTCAAGGCAAATTCGTGCATATAATACTGTATTAATTACATATTGATAATGATTTATTTTTACGTACAACCGACCGTTAAGGCCTAGGGCATTTTTTTAAAACATAATCCTAATATTAACTAATTATAATTATTTTAAACAAAACTCTAAACTTAAATATGTATATACAACATTCTTAACTACTCTAAAGGACCTGGTGGACAAAATTTCTTTAGCAGTCCCTCACCTTCACGTGTTTAAGGTCTTCCTCCACTTCACTAATCCACCTTATTCTGAGTCTACCGCTTCTTTTGGGGCCGATTAGTTTTCTGGTTATTACTAGTTTAGGCATTCTGTTTGCTGCCATTCTTTCCACATGTCCCAATCATCTGATTCTTTGTGACTTGACGAACTTGGTAATGGTAGATTTTTTGTATAAAGCCATTAATTCATTGTTGGCTCTTCTCTCCCAACCATCTTCTGTCTTTCGTCCTCCGAATATGCGTGTTAATATTTCCCTTTCTCTTCTTTCCAGAGTATTTTGAGTTCAGTAGGGCTCTTAAACTACCTAATTTTTTATTCCCTTTTGCTATTCTGGCTTCGAGCTTCCATGCCTCTTTTCTATTTTTATCGAAAACTACACCCAGGTATTCAAATTTGTCCACCTTTTTAAAACTATAGCTTTTACCACTTAGAGATCTCACACTAAAGTCTTCTTTTTCCCTTCTGTCCCTCCCATGATCATATATTTGGTTTTGTGTTCATTTAATTACAATCCGAATTTCTGTGCTTCTTCAATGATTTTCTTCACAAGTCTTCTCAATTCTTTCTCGGTATTTGCTAGGATCGTTAGATCGTCAAGAAATGCCAAGCACTGGTGCTCATTTTTCATGATCGTTTCTTCTACCTTCATGCTGAATTTTCTAATTACAGTTTCTAACACTAAGTTGAATAGAGTTGAATAAGTTAAATAAAGGATCTCCCTGTCTCAAGCCTTTTACAACCGTAAATTGATCTGATATGTGACCCTGCCAAGCAATTTCACACGTAGAGTTATTTAGTGTCATTTTAACAAAGAAACATCAGTTTCTTTGGTATACCGAAATATTCCATTGCTCGACACATTTTGACTCTATCGACTCTATCATATGCTTGTCTACAATAAACAAACCAAACATGCAGGGGAACTTTACCTTCATAACAAGTCGTTTGTATCTCCTTTAATGAGAAGATTTGGTCTACAGTAGATCCGTCTTTTCTAAAGCCGGCCTGATACTCATGTAGGATTCTTTCCGTATAGCAATTTAGTTTATTTCTGAATATTCTTGTCAAGATTTTGTATACCGTGTCTAGTAAGGCTATATCTCTATAGTTGTCACACTTCAGTTTGTCTCCTTTTTTATGAAGAGGGCATATGCTGGCCTTATACCACTCGTATGGCATTACTTCCTGTTCCCATATTTGCACTAGTAGCTGATATATTTTTCTTTGTAGTTGTTCTCCACCAAACTTCGATCATTTCTATGCATATGTCATTTTTACCAGGACTTCTGTTATTTTTCATTACTTGTATTGATGTCACCATCTCCTCCTCTGTAGGCTACCTTTCAACTATCGCATCTTCTCCAACCGTCCAGTTGTCTACTGCTTCGTGCTCCACCTCAGCATTTAATAATTCTTCAAAATGTTTTTTCCATTCCGTCATTATTTCTGCCAGATCGCTAATTAAATTTCCGTCTTGATCTTTCATATAACTACAGTGGCTTTGGTAAACTTTTCCCATCTTTTTAACTTCTTGATAGAACGACCTCACCTCTTTGTTTTTAAACTTCTTTTCTATCTCTTTTAATTTTAACTCATTGTGGTATCTCTTTTTCCTTCTACACAGAGCTTTCAATCTTCTTTAAATTATTATAATATTTGATGTCTGATCTTCTTTCCCTTTGCTATCGCCTGACACTCTTCGTCAAACCAATCTTTGTTTGTACTTCGATTGGAGTCCCACTTAAATATTTTCTCGCTAGCTTCTCCTATGGCAGATTTAATTTGTGTTTGATCTGCTTGATCTGTCTGTAAATTTTGGTCACCTTGTTGTAGATTTTATTTACGTCTTCTTCATATTTATTTTTTATTTCTACTTCCTTAAGTTTTTCAATATTGTACTTTCTCTTCATTTTATTGTTCGATTTCTCTTTTTCTTCCAGCCTCCTCCCACATGTGACTTTAACGAGGTAATGGTCCGAGTCGATTTCAGGTCCTCTCATACTTCTTACCTTCTGGACGATATTCATATATTTACTTTCAATCATAACATGATCTATTTGATTCACCGTCCTTCCAACTACGTAGACCTACGTACCTTTGTATATCTCTTTTCGTTTTAGTTGTGTGCTTCTCACTACCATGTTTTCCTCCACGGCAAATCCAATAAGTCTTTGACCATTATCGTTTGTTACTTCATGTTTACTGTAGTTACCAGTTACTGCAGTATACAGAGGTTCTTTTCCCACTTTAGCGGTACAATCACCCATGATTATTTTTACATCTCGTTTAGGTAGGCGCTCGTATTCATCATTTAGCTGTTCATACTAAAAATCTTCTATTTCGTCATCCTTGTCTTCTGACTGTGCATAATTATTGATTATACTTCATTCCTTTTCTTCCTTTTAATTCGTATTGAACACATCGTATCAGACATAGGATTAAAAGCTATCACTTTGTCCTTGATACATTCAGCTAATAAAAAACCAATTTAAAGCATTCTATCTTTACCTCCACTTTTGAAGAGCACCATATCTTCTATATCAGTTATTTTTGATCCTAATTGTTTTGTCTTTGAAGCCATAATCATTTACTCGTCATCATAGTTTTTAGCGCACCTTCATAAAGGTTCCTCTGACATTCCATGTAGCTAAGTGTATCTTGTCTTTCTTCGGCTTTACCTTTGTATTACTGTCTTGTTTTGTTTCGTTTTCATAGTTTGTAATTCTTTTCTTTGCATTGTTCGTCATCATTTCTTTCCTGTTCATGCTGGTGCTTAGTTCTTTGCTTTGGTCTCTACCACCAACATTTGGTTCATGCCATCCCAGCGCTATATTTCCTGATCGGAATATATATTTCTTATATCCTCCTTTCACTTTTTTTCACTTCTTTCTTAGTTCTTGCGCTTTCTGTCTCACATATTTCTGTACAGGTCTGTCCTTCTTTGACAAGTCATCATTGATATAAACTAGACTTTCTCTTCGGTTTCTTAATTTGCTTTTGTTTCTCAAGACTTTTCTGTTGTCTTCTTCCTTTTCAAGCTCAACAAGACAGACTTCTTCTCCCAGATTCACAACCTTCTCTATTTGAACATCGACTGCTAATTCTACCTGCATATATTTTTTTTATTTCATGTCTTATAGTCCCTGGGACATTTGTATCTATGTTCAGGCCTTGTATATCAATATTTTTACGCCTTTTTCCATTTTAGTAATTAATTAATAATTAATTTGAATACATTTTTTAAGGTATAATTTAATACAAATTAATTTAAAGCTTAATGTTAGTTTAGAGTTAAAATCCTAACACAATCTGAACAAAGAAATCTGAATTACTGACATTTCAAGCTATGTTTTGTAAATATTAACAAAAAATATTATTCACATATTATTCTAATTAATAAACAATATTATTAATATTTTTAAGGTAAGATTTAATATAAAATAATTTATAAAGTTTTATGTTAGTATAGATGTAAAATTCGAGCGTAACCTTAGAAAGAAATCTGAACAGATAAACTGACAGATAAAATAAATTACAATTATCTGACTATAGAATATAAAATCTTTATTTGCCAAATAAAGTACTACATAAAAAGTATAGACTTAATGTGAGAATATAATGTTTGATGCAGAATTGAACATTTTAATTTTTGTAATGATAAAGACATTTTTAAAAGGTTGAGATTAAGTAAACCGACAGTGATCTATATTCTAAGAAAATATTGTAAATAGTTGTTGATAAATAATTATAAAAGTAGATGTATACATATTTTCATTAACTTGGAATAATTAACTTTTTTCAAGAAATATTGGGGCCATTGATTAAATAATAGTAATATCGGATTTAAAAATGAAAAATATGCTCATTTGCACATAGTACCTAAATGTCCGATTCTTTTAATAATTATAAAATACATTCAATTATTATACAAAAATACATTTAAACTATATAAAAAAAAGATTAGAGCAAAAAAGACGAAATTGACAGACTTTAAATTCTGACAATTTCGTGATACGTCTTGGATTTGTTTTTCTAGGTACTGTTTAATATAATATATAGCTGTGTAACAGTGTAGCAGGGGGCTAGACTCCGACAAACTTAAGTTTGGGCATCGAGCTAAAAGACAAAAGAGGGAATGTAAAGGTAGTGGGGGCAAACATATTGTTAGACAGGAAGTGCGATCTTTAGAGGCCACTTTAAACAAGGAAAGAGAGTCTCTCTCCTTGTTTGACATCAAATTTAGTTGGGTTATGTTATTGTTTGTCCCAAATGTCACATGGAATCTTATTTATATTGAAGTTTTTTAACAATTGTGTCGCATTTAAGACTCTTATCATTAATAATTAATTAAAACTTTCTCGTCTAAAACACATTCTGAAAAATATTATATAGCTACTGTTGATAAGTGTCGGAAAATTTAAATTTGGCGCATTCGCATTTCCGGATATGTCCGCCATCAGAGGCCACTTTTTTGGTCTCCTTTTCATAAGGATTAGATTCCCTCTTGTCTTATTGCTCGATGAGTTTGGGAATGTGACGTCGCAGAAAGGCGGACCGTTTCTACCAGTGGCGGACAGAAACCGGTAGCTTTAAAATAAATTTTTATAAGTATATTCAATTAAAGTGAGAATGAATTTGTCAATTTTTATTTTTATAGTTTTTAATATTTATGAAGTTTATAGTCAGGCATTCAATAAAACAATGAGTAAATTATTAGGAGTACTTTTAATAAATAACAAATTCCTCAATACTTACAATTTATTAACATTGCCAGGAAGGAACAAAGGGTTTCAACAACTCAAAAAAAACTAAGTAATTTATTTTAACAAATTAAATAATGTATTTATTTTATAAAAAAATATGGATTTTAAAGACTTCTATATTTTGTTATATGACAAAGGAATATCACACAAAAACACGTCTATTCCGAAACTTTAATTACTATCTTCATCATCAGAAAAGCTTTCTTCGGATGAACCAGTATTAATAAAAAATTTTAAGTGGTCCAGCGTAGAGTCTAATAAATGTTCTCTTGCGATTTGAGTATTTTCATATTTTTTTACGTGTTTACATATTATTATGTTAGCCCACTCTTCTATCAACACTTCTGAAAATTTTGCTCTTGTTATATTTTCAACATCATTTATATTAAATGTTGTATTATAAGTGGCCACTCTACCTTTTACCAAAGCCCATATTTTTTCAATAGGGTTTAACTCTGGATGATAAGAAGGCAAGCGAAGTACTTGATGGCCATGTTGTTTAAGCTTATAGTCTAACACATAAACTGGTGGAAAACGTAGTTTATTGGCTTGAATAATTTTATATAATTCCGGTTTGGTCAGATTTTCTTGAAAGGGAATACTTTTTTCTTGTAACCATTTTACAATAATATCCCTACGGCTAGCAGACGTCACATTTTTTTCGATTAGTACATTATGGTAGGATGCGTTATCAACTACCAAGATCGAATTTTTAGGTAAGTTAGGTATAAGCTGAGTTCCGACCCACTTCATAAAATTAAGATGTTCATATCGTATCGTAAAGTCATATAAATTTTGATGATTTCTTCTTCTCCTTGGACCAATTGAGTTTTTTTAACACGAGAACGTTTTCTTTTTCGACTTGTAAAATATGAAATAGTCGCTCCATTTTTATTAACTTCTCTACCTTCTTTTCTTATTTTGGATAAGGTGTTTTTACTTATACCTGTAGCTGCTAGAATCCTATCCCTATAATTACCAACGTTAAATGTTACTAGATGAAAATATTGACAAACAAAATGCATATTAATCATATTTACTAACACAATCTATATTGAGATCGGTTATTTTCTGTTTCAAGTAAATAGTAGAAAGTATCTGATGAAACATCGTAAATAGGTAATCACAAGGTGTTGGTTGTGGTGTATTTATACAAAATACAAACCAATCATTCAAATATAAATTACCACCTGTTTGTAGCATTTATACTGCCGAGCTTGTTGCAAATATAAAAGGTATTACCTGGTTAACATCCAATAACATACTCGAAGGAATAATATTAACAGATTCTAAATTTGCATTAGACTCTATAAAAAATACAAAATTTGAAGGAATGAAGTGTCATATGTTATGTTTTTTAATAAACATGATTGTAAACTTAAATAAAACATTTATTTGGGTTAGAGGCCATGTAGGTATACCAGGGAATGAAAAAGCTGATACTCTAGCTGAGGAAGCAGTGCAAAATGGAGTCTTTTGCAATATTTATACAGTAAGGGATATATTTAACTCAATAAAAAATAAAATTAGACTGAAATGGTAACAGCAATGGGAGAATATTGTTGAAACTAGCAAATACATATTACAGATACACCCACTTTACATTTAAAGATGTGAAAATAGAAATATAAATTAGTATAACTTCAATGACTTATAAATATAACAAAAAATCTAAAAAGATCTAAAAAAAGTAACAAACAAGAACAAACAAAATATTTTTAAACATAAATAAAACATTATGTCGCTAATGGACTTGTTTCCGTGTCATATTTTTCACACACACACACACACACACACACACACACACACACACACACACACACACACACACACACACACACACACACACACACATACACACACATAAGAAAATAAAATATCATTGACAATACTTACGTCAATTTCCTTAAAGGTATTAACAAGTTTTAGGTTGCTTCGATATGTGCTGCCTCTTGTTCCTTAAATGTAGTAACATTATAAATTATTGCCTTTGCTTGGCTATTTAATCCCAGCCCTTTCGTTCCTATCTTTTTAGAAGCCATATTATAACTATTATTAATAACTAAACTTAACACACTATAAATAAACTAAACTAAACACTAAATGACTTAATAATTCACTAATTACTACTACCTATATTATACTAAGCACTAATATAAAATAAAATAATAAAATATCCAACACGATCAAATCAACAAGTCAAACACTCTCTGCGATACGCAACTACGACACTGGCAAACTGCAAACTGGCCGTTTCTATGGTAACGCTAGTAAACAAGAACCACTGCGCACCGTCTAGTTATGAGTCATATTCCCAAACTAAACTTTGTCGGAGTCTACGTTACATACACATGAAATGGCTTACTTCAGGCCAGTCAACAATCAACCCACATGACAGATTGACCTGTTTTTGATTTTGTATAAGATTGTAAAAAATATATAAGTTTAATTAGTACAATATTGTTTAACTTATAATCCCATAAAATATAAAACATGGCGCAGCCAAACAGTTAGCTGGGTACAGTCGAAAAGCTAAATTTTACCATAAAAGAAAAAAATCTTTAAGAACATAGTGTGGCACGAGGTAACATAACCCAAAATGGCAATGGGAATAAGTGTAAAACTACCACCAGATTTTGTCCTACAGGGACAAAATGCAGCAAATGAATCGAAGTTTTGGAAAACCTGTTTCGAAGATTACTTACTAGCAATAGGACAAGAACAGTCAGCAGACAAAATAAAACTGTCAATTTTAAGAAATATAATTGGAACTGAGTCTGCCAAAATTATGTCCACATTCGCCATCCCAGAAGACAAAACCAATGTAGTACGATGTAATGATGTTACTAATCGACAAATATGTTAATCCAAGGATGAACGAATCATTTGAAAGATACAATTTTATCACGAGAGTTCAGAAAGAAGGAGAGTCATTTGATCAGTTTCTTACTAGTTGTAGACATTTGATTCGAAGATGTAATTATAATGAAATTGATCCAGAACAAACAGCCGAAGATAAAGCTCTGAGAGACAAGATATTGATATACATTTTATTTATTTATATATTATAAATAAATGTTTATCCTCTGGATAATTATTTATCAGATATCACAATATTTATATGGAGGTGAAAAGACCGGCCCTTTCCTGCAAGAAGTTTATTATGATAAAAATTAAATTTTCAATTCTTTTGAAAATTTTGTTGATCCTAAAAAATTGGCTGCGTATTTGATGATTGGTAAAAACAATAATACAAAACTCCAGCTTGTCCAACAAATAAATTGCCAAACTAGAACTACGCTGGTTTTATACATAGGTGGATCTCGTAAGACAACTTTACGCTAAAAGTTCAGCGACTCTTCAAAAGTGACTTGTTTGATATGAAAGTTGTGCAATAGATTAAAATATTATTTTGTTGTCGTCTTAGCCTTAAATAGGAGTGAGAAAAATAAGTGGACTGATTGCAAATGCAATTGATTGGATCTCCCGTCGCATGGTGACTGGCAAAATCCCTAGTTGCCTATAAACAACTACTTTATTTGTAAGTAATTTGTAATTTTTTAAACAAAACATTAATTGCAACAAAAACTAGTTAAAATTATATAATAAATATGTTTAACACTTGACCGTATATCATATGTTATAGTGGCTCTTAATATGACAAGTAGTAAAAAATTTATAACAATTAAAAATGCGGATCAACCTAGGATAACAGTTAATCATATCCATTCCACTACATTATTATAATCTAATTAAAATAATTAAAGCTGACTTACCCTGGGCTTCCTAAGGGAGACCAAGCTACTACTGTGATATTGTTCTTTTTGCAATACTCTACAAGCTCTTTACGTTGACCATAGAAATGTAGTTGAACTTGTAAATTGACAGGCTTTATTCTGGCATTTTGCACAATATATTCTATTTGTTCGACAGTAAAGTTGGACAGACCAATATATTTGGCCCTTCCTGCATCCACCTGTTCTTCTAGTTTCTAAAAACAATAATTTTATTGGAACTTTCTTAAAAATAAAATGTTACAACCATCTATTTCCAATTTTTACACGTTCAGCCTCGGTGTTATAATTTTTTTCTTGTCCATTGGTCAGCATTTTATTTTTTGTAAATAAGACGGGAGTCGTGGATGCCTTTCCGCATTTTTGATTCATTAAAAAAAATATATTTGACAATAGAGTTATTGCACAACATTTTTGAGGTATTAGATTAATGACTCGTTGTCCGAGAACTACAAATTTGGTTGTCTGGACAGCGTGGCATTTACGTGATGCCTCAAACTTGTTTATGCTTGTATGAAGCTACGGAAGTATTTGACGTTATATTCTGAGTAATTCTTTGTTCGGTGCTCTTTGCGTACGGTTATTGTATGAGTGTACTATAAAATATTAGATTACACGAATTTTTTCGATGGATTTCTACGAAAAAGAACAGAAAAGACTTGAAAGTTTATACAAAGAGCTTATATCAGATGAAGTCGTAGGTGTGGACGACCCTTACGCAAATTCTGGATCATCAGATGATTATATACCCAGTGACACAAAAGCCTCTGATTCTTCCGAAGAAATTCCTAGGAAACTGGGAAAATTACATGGCATCTGTGAAGTACCGGACGAACGCAATCTTGCAGTGCCAGATCCTAGCGGTATACCAAAAAGCATAACGGGCCATTGAACATGAGGTAAGTTTTACTAAACTTTTATGTTCATTCTGGAAAGTCATATCTAATTTCCGTTTAAAATGACCTGATACAACAGACAATTAAAACTGTAATTTCTGCATTTGCTGGTGTTGCAGAAGAAGATGAAGGGGAGAGTTCAGATTTATTATGGAGCATAGTTGATACTTCCTAGTTAAAAAAATTTCGCAGACTATTCAGAATGCTGGGGTAAGACTGGAATATTACAACAATTTTACAGAAACTCCTTATTTATTTAACAAACTGTTTGTGACTGATGATTTGATCGATTGTATAGTTGATCAAACGAATTTATAAGCAGGTCAACAGATAAATGGCCGACCTGTTGTAGCCAAATCTAAATGTAAACGTCGGATACCAACTACAAGAAAAGAAATGTAAATATTCTTTGGGGTAACTATATGGATGTGATTGTTAAAAGCACCACGATTACGCGACTATTGGAGCAGAAATTACTTATTTGTTACCAATATAAGACAGAAAATGTCTAGAAATCGTTTCAAATAATTACTTTTAAATATTCACTTCAATAATATTGAAACATAGTGACAACCAAGCTCACTGGATTTTGATCGGCTTCACAAAATATCTCCGTTAGTTCACAACCAAATTTCTAGATTTCTGCAAATTGTTACTCCAGGAAAAAATGTCTGTATTGACGTGACAATGGTACCTTATCGTGGTCGCTTGAAATTCAAGCATTACATCAAAACACAAATTTGGAGTTCAAAACAGAAGTCGCTATAGAACTACTGGGTGAAATGTCCTGCTATTGAAACAAATATCAACGATAGCACCTATATCAGTCATGAGCTTCTAGAAGAAAGAAAAAACAAATGTGTGGTTTGCTACGTCAGAATGAAGAATTAATTGGGCGGAAGTAAGGTCAAAACAAGTGTTCTCGTGCTAAATTTTGTGCAACCAATGCAAAAAACATTATTGTATTTCTTGTTTTTTCTCAAAACATAATGCTGTTTTAAAATAATAAGGTGTTATATTATTATAATTATTTTTGCAGATTCTGAATAAAATCTTTTATTTTTTTCATAAAGTTTTATAATTTCCATATCTTTCGTAAAACCGGTCTCACATCTAATCAGGAAATATTATTTTGCTCCGTGGACCACCCTGTTCAACTTACAATGTAATTAATATAGCTGTGGGGGCACAGCTGATGCTATGATGTACCGAACACAAAACTGTAGTATGGCATTAGAGTGATGCCTCACTGTCCCAAGAGTACTATTTAGTGAGGCATCATATTGATGCCACCCGGGGCTGAACGTGTTAATTTATGCGACAAAGTTATAAAGCAGCCGGTAGTTTTTAGTCAAATGTTCATGTTTACATAATTAATGTTAAATTATTAGAGTACTTTTCGTCTTGTAGTAGTAGTGTCTTTTAGTAATTAGTAGTGTCTTTTCTTAAATTCTGCAGTTTTTTCAAACGGGATTCTGTTGTCCATCCAATACACATTTCTAGTATTATCTCCAAAATTTACTATATTTCTATCCTAGGTATCCTCAATGGTTCACCTTAAAAAATAATAATTGGTTTTATGATTTTTACTGATGTGGTTGAATTCACAGTACGATTTAAAATCCATTTAATAGCACCAGTTTGATGCTATTATGCCTGCAGAGTAAGTAGGTTTTGGTTTTCTAGCATCTCTGCTCCGGTTAAATGTACTGTTTATATAGTTATGGAGTCGTTCTTTGTGATTCTTGATAATCTTTTTTATTTCTTATTTAATTGTTTCCATGAAAATTTTCTGTTTAAACAACCTATTTAATAAAATTATTTATAATATATAAATTAACCTATAAGATTGTAATCGTAATTATTTTACCAACGTATACACTCAGCTCGACAATAAATACGAACCTCCAATTGGTCCTAATTTAAAAGTTATTAACGAGTCACCCTAACCTGATATTGTTAAAGTTTGTTTATTTTCTATTTATATTGAAATAGTATTCAGAATTTTAAAAATCTGTGTTCTAAATAGAACATTGGCTTCTAAGTTTACATAATTAGTGGATTTTATCATAACTCATTATGAACTGTACTTTAAACAGAGAGAAACATATTTTAGCAACTGAAGATATTTTAAATCTCTCCTTAACAGAATGCTGCTGCTTAAAAGTAGGAATGACTTTTCTGTAGAGAAGTAATTTGATACACCAAAAGTATATATAGTTAAAAGTCTACGAAAAGAACAAACAGTACACATTGAAGAACGATGTATCTGTAGCCCAGATACTTCAAGAAAAATATGTAAACAATCATACTCAACTACATAATCAGCTACATACATAATCAACTAATGGTACTCGGCTACCACCATAATGGTTTTGCTTATTGGAAAAGAGTTTAGACAGCAATAAGCAATCACTTCCAGAAAGTAATATAAGGTTGAATGCTAGAATAAATGAACTTTGATAAAATGAAAGCATATATCGAGCACAGTTTTATTAATTAAATCTTGCCCAAGTACTTTCGTTTCCTAGAGTATCTCCTTGGGCAGTTAATGGAAGATAACAGTTTTTTTGTGATTAACATTACAGATTACTTTGTCAATTTTGGGCTATCCAACAATCGCAGAATGTCATAAACATAAAAATGTACATAACAATACACCAAACAAGGACAAACAGTGGACATGTGACATATGACAGCTTGGATGCGCAATCTCAATCATAGAGATGTGATCTGCACATTTCAAAATTCTATGTAACTAAGCATTGACCAAAGGTTCAACTGACACTTCTATAGGAAATCAACTGATGAAATATGACATATAGAATATTTTAACTAGAATGCATAATTCAGATCTCATACTTAAACCTGTCTACAATAATTAGGGTGTTAGTTTAAGAGCCCTTGTTTGCGCTTCCAAATTAAAAACAAAACAAAAAAAAGTAGGTATAGTATTCAATACAAATATAAAATTTGCTCTGGCCAATCTGTCCACTCTCTGTATACTAGAACAAATGTTGTTGTACTTACCCTCCATATTCTTAGATTACTTTCATTATCATCAGAAGGCCAATGAATTAAATATAAGTCAACATAATCCAGCTGAAGATCCTCTAAAGTTTTTTTAATTGTCTCTTCTGGATCAAATCCATCTCGTGGGGGAAATTTGCTGGTAATAAAAATATCTTCCCTTTTTATTTTATTCGGAATCCACTTTTTTAAAACTTTTCCTATAAGAGCTTCGCTCTGGTAAACGTAGGCGGTATCGAGATGGCGAAAGCCTATTTCTAGAGCATGATCTAGGGCATTTTCTTGAGCAGATGTCTGCAAAATACATATTAATACAACTTGAGTTAGTAAATAGGCTATGATAGAACGTCCTAAATCATTATCTAAGTTTAAGTACACGACAGTGTACCAAAGAAGAGCATTAACGACACATTAATGTTTGACACCATACCTATATGTAAAGCCAAAAATACACAGAGCCAACGTATTCTTTGAACAAATTAGCAGGAGCATGAATTCCTTGCAGAAAACTCTCCAAATTCCTTCTACATTTAACACAACCACTGGCAAAAAATTACGCTTTTGTGAAGAATACACATTTTCTGTAAAAACTGGTGAAAATAGATTACAAACCCAACAAGATGTTAGTTAATTTTGACGTAATTAGTCTATTCATTAATGTGCCTCTGAAAAAAGAAACCTTACACATAACAAGAAACAAACTAATGAACGATGATACATTGACTACTAAAAAAAACGGAATATATCAGCTTTAATAAAGTTAGTAGGTATGCCTATTATACATATTATACATTGACACCTTTTCTTAATTCGACGACGATTTTTTATAAACCAAAATGTGTTATGAGCTCTTCATTATCTCCTTTACTAGCAGATATATTCATGGAAGAAGAAAAATTAAAAAGTAATTTTTTTAGTTAAGAGTAAAATGAAAATAAAAATAGCTTAAATCCTTCAAAGTATGTATGCTTTTATAAATAAATAGAAAAACGATTAAAACAATACAAGCTAATATTAATTAATTTTTCAGCTTAACTTAAATGCTAGAAAATGGTGAATTATATTTCTTCGAAACATCCATAATCCTTTCCCACTAAAAGGAAAATGTGTTTTCAACAGAAAATTGACCAGAAATTTATGAAATATTTTCCTCCATCTCTTCTACCAAAATACTGAACTAAATAATAAAGTAATAAAAATAAAATGTTATTCCAACTCCCACTTACTGTTCCATATCCAATAGAAGGAATTTTAAAACCGTTAGGCAAAGTTTGAAATGAAGCCATTGTTGAAGGGATTAGGTAAACTAAACTATTTTACCAGAAATATATTTATATATCATATTTTATTATCTTTAAATCAATGTTTGGTTTTATATCTAAACATTCCAAATAATATTGACCTTGATTCAGACAATGAAGTAGCATTGACGTAGTAGAGACTTTCACCTCAGAAATAAAAAAAAGTGATTTCAAAATTCCGTCATTTTTGTTACGTATATCTACGCAAAAAGCGTAACAAGATATAGAAGTGGAAAAAAACTGCTAAGCGGGTATAAAAATTAGCCCGAAAATTTAAAATATAATTGTAAAATACAAATAAAAATAATTAAAGTATATAAAATAATATAAATATAATATAAATAATATATAATATAAATAATTAAAAAAAATACTTACCTAGAACGTAAGGAATAGAATTATAGAATGTAGTAAACACCAAACTATTATAGACATTCTAGTATAAAGCTTATAATGTTAATTGGTGACACCTAATAATGTCTCAAATGAAATTTACATATTGACTTAAATATACCATATGCAAAGGTAATCGTAAAATTTCAAACAAGAATTGGTACCACTACACTATGCAGTCTACCTTCGCGTGTCTGCTACATCTTAGGGTCTACCGAGAGATGCGGTCTATCTGTGCGGCTAACCAACACTATAATCTTTTTCCAGAAGGATTTGCGCAAATAACAACCCCTCCTTTTAAATAAAATGGCCTAGTAGATTTACAAAAATTAGTTAACTCTTGACTATCAACATCACAATATCTGGAATGAGAATGTTTCTAAAAGACTTCTACAGAAACACGATTTTATCAGAAGAGTGTGCTGTGACCTTTTTTAAAAACAGTAACTTTTTTACGAAGCAAATGATGCTCAACCTTGCGGTCGTTGTGGAAGTGCCATACAACAGAAGACACGAAAAGATCGAGGTGGCCTACCAACTAACACCGATCGTTCCTCAGACTTATGAATTTTTTCATTAAATCGATCTCAACAACAAGATCAATTCAAAGCTGACCCTATGCGATATTTTAAACTAGTGTTTGTTATCGATAAAAGAACAACACATGAAGAAAGACACAAAGAAACGGAAATCGTGCATGAAATACTTGAACTTGTGGATGAGAGGAAAAAAACAACAAAGAAAATCTCCAAAAATAAAAGAGAATACATACCATCGTCAGAAGAAAAATAAGAAAAACCAAAGAGAAACAAAAAACAGAGCAATGTCAAGAAATAGAAGAGTATCAGTGTCGATATAATAACTTCAATGTTCATCGAAAGGTGACGGAAATAGCTGGAAAGTTTCGAAAACGCAACAGCGGAAAAATAACAGATAATAAAGACAATATTGCCATAACCAGAGAAGATAAAAAAAGTATGGTTAAAATACTTTCTTTTCCATAATCTTAGAACAATACAAGAGCCCACCATTGAAGAAAATTTAGGTCCCGAAATCCTACCAGAAGAAATAACGGCAGCCGTCAGACAAATGAAGGATGGACTTCATGAAATTCCTGCAGAACTGCAGAAGCTATTAGATACAGAACAAATAAAAATAATAACTGAAATATTTAATGAAATATACAAGGCAGGAAAAATACCAGTAGAGTATCTCAAATCAGAGTTCGTACCATTGCCCAAAAAACCAGGAGCTAAACTTTGTGAAGATTATAGGACAATAAGCCTAATGAGTCATCTGTTGAAGCTGTTTTTAAAAGTCATCCATATAAGAATTTACCGGAAATGCGAGGAACAAATTGCGCCCAATCAGTTTGGATTTGTGAACGCCGTTGGTACGAGAGAAGCTTTATTTAGCATGCAAGCATTTTTTTAGAAATGTAGAGATCAGCTGTAATGTTTTTGCATGCCTGATTGACTACAAGAAGGCTTTTGATAGAGTCAGGTATGAACAAATGATGGAAGTGCTGAAGACGACGGGGATTAATGGAAAAGAATTAAAAATTAAAGCTAATCTGTATTGGAATCAATCAGCGGTACTCCGAATAGATGAAGAATATACAGATCAGGTCAAAATTTTAAGGAGAGTCAGACAGGGGTGCATAATTTTACCACTGATATTCAATCTGTACTCGGAGTACATTTTTGAAGAGGCCCTAAAAGATATTGATGAAGACATCTCAATAAATGGAGTCAAGCTCAATAACCTGCGGTATGCAGATGATACAATAGTGTTTTCCAATAGCATAGAAGAGCTGCAAAACTTAATGAACAGAATAACGGAAACAAAGAGAACATATGAATTGGATATAAACACCAGCAAAACCAAGCTAATGATCATCAGCAAGAAAAACATAACTGGAGCAAATCTGTATGTGAACCAAATGAGAATTTAATGTGTCTCACAATACAATTACATACTTGGGAACTATAATCAATGAGTTGTATGACAATACCCAAGAGAATAAATGTCGTATCGGAAAGGCCAAAAGTGCATTCTTGACTATGAGCTTTGTGTTCAAGAGCCATGACCTCACCCTGAAAACAAAAATAAGGCTCCTTAAATAATGTTACGTGTACTCAGTGCTTCAGTATGGAGTAGAAACGTGGACATTAAAGGCGGAAACTCTATCAAAATTTCAGGCTTTTGGGCTATGGTTATACAAAAGAATCCTGAAGATACCATGGACAGACAAAGTCACCAATGAAGAAGTATTGCGGAGGATGAACACAACCGCGGATTTGGTCAAGATCGTGAAGAGCTGTAAGCTGGAGTACTTGAGAGTTATAATGAGAAATCAAGGCAGATAGAAGCTACTCCAATGCATTTTGCAGGGTAAAATTTAAGGAAAACGAGCCCCATGACGAAGAAGAATATCCTGGCTTGCTAACCTGAGAGCATGGTAGAGAAAGACCTTAACCCAGCTATTTCGTATAGCAACCAACAAAATCATCATAGCCAGAATTATCGCCAACGTTTGGAATGGACAGGCACCCTAAGAAGAAGTTTTTTATCGTCGAAGATATTTTATTCACCACGACATTTTATCTAACAGGGAACTCAGCGAATAAGATATCCGACTGGTACAACATATGCCAACAAGTTTTTACAGTCATCATATCGAGAAAAAGCCCGGTGATATGAACAAACGAGACCCATTCCACTTTATGAATCAAGATTCGATGGTCGCCAAAAACATAACCGAGGACGCATGTTGGAAGGAATTTGTGCTGCAGAATGCTGAAGGCAGTCATGCTGAAGTAAAAAACCAATGAAATAATGTAGCACTTAGAAATGTCTGGATTCAATTAAAAAGTCATTTATAGCTTTTATTTTTAACATTTTTTGTTTCTTCTTCTTCTTCTTCTTATATAGACATACTCTTTACTACTTTATTTGTTTTCATTCGGCTTATATTATCGTTCCATTCGACTCTTCTATTTCTTACCCAGTTCTTGATGTTCTCCATCTTGCATCTACGTCGTATATCTGTACATCTACCTCTGCCCCATAGTGTCTTACCATCAGTTTTTCTAAGTGTTTTCATCTCTGCTGTTTCTAATATCCTTTTTGTCCTCTTTGTGTCAGGTCTTGTTCCTGTCGCGTATGTCATTATTAGTCTGATGACTGTTTTGTAAATTCTGCGTTTCGTTTCTTTTCCGATATTTTTATTGGTCCATATTGTTTCATTTAGGCAGCCTGGTTGCTCTATTCACTTGATCTTCCAATTTAGTTCCGAGCTTTCTGTAGCTAGATAATGTGATGCCTAAATATTTAAATTTCATCACTTGTTCTATTATCTGGCCTTCCAGCTCCAATTTACATTGTAGTAATTTTGCTGTTGTAATTTGCATTTTGTCTTAAAACATGTTACGTTTTTTAACAAATTAAAAAATTAACGTGCTAAGTTTTCTGGTGGTTATATTAAATTGATGCAGCGTACATTGTAAACTATCTTTACTTTGAGAGAGTAGTATTGCGTTATAGTATTGCGAGAGTAGTATTGAGTAGTATTTTAAGTTGTTTTTCTCCCATTTGGTATCGTTTTTTAGTTCTTACTTTTTTAATTATTTCATCTATAATCAGGGTGAACAATAAAGGACTCGGGAAAATCCCGTTGCCAGCTTCAATAGAATTGGTTAATTCTTCTTCTACTTTTGCTTTTATTGTGTTGTTTTGGTAGATATTTTCGACCGTTTTGATTATTCCTAAAGATATCTCTCTTGCATACAGATAACGTCTTTTAATTTGACCCGATCAAATACGATCTTAAGGTCCACGAAACATAGATTTGCCCATTTGTTGTGATGCAAGCTACTGAAAAGCGGATTGAAGCCTTCGAGAGGTGGATCTACAGGATATTAAAAATATCGAATGTGGACTATGTCACCCACGTTGAGGTCCTACAGCGCATTACAAAAGAAAAAGAAGTGCTTAATTTAGTAAAACAACGTAAGCTTAAATACCTCGGTCACGTGATGCGAAACAAAAAAAAATATCGAATTCTTTAACTCGTTATGCAGGGTAAAGTATTTGGCAGGATGTAGCGTTTACGCTACTGACTAGTCCAATTAAAACCCCTCACGAAATTTCTTATTACCCGCCTGCGATCGATTTTAAATCGACATTTTTCCACAGACGCGCAGGAGTCGCTTTGACAGGAAGATTGGTCGAGTCTGTGCGGAAGCGGTTAGTTTTGGTCAGAACTCGTAAACGCAGACACGCCAACCGGTGAGTTTTTTTCACGTTCAAAGTGACGGAATTGGGGCAAATAAAATCTAGAATAAGAATAAAAAAATATATAATTCATAAATAATAATAATAATAAGTAATTTTTTTCTAATAAAATCAATATTCATTTATAAGAGTTCCACATAAAAAGGAAGATTTTTTTGGCGTGCTGCGGCTCCATGTAAGTAAATCATTTCATACGTATTATACGTAAATTTTAATTAGGTTGTGACTCTAGGTCGATGACAATGGATAAAATGTTATTACTTTAGGGATTACATGTCTCCCTGCTCGATTCTTAACACATGTT